ACAGAACAGAATTTACTCCACAAGTGTGAGGATTCAGGGTTTCTATTCTACTTTAAGGTGATTGTTAGAAATTTCTCAAAAAAAAAACCAGATTTGGCCTTTATAATTGTCAGCCTCCTAGGGAAAAGGAGGAGGCAATCAGATAGAAACAGTATGTATAGCTTGCTTATGAAGGATGGATGTAATGGATAGAGAAGCTTTATACTTGGAGCAGTGCTGAGTGACAGGAGCTCACAAGAGCTGGAGCAGCCACTTGTCACTTGCCAGCAATGGGTTGAGGATGCCTGGAGCTCCTGCAGAGGTTGGGGTGCCCATTGTGACAGGGAGATTGTCCTCAAAGCTTCTGGGAGAGGAAAACTGGGTAGGAGGAACCAGCCTAGTGGAGCAGTGGTCCCAAGCCAGGAGCCTGTAAGAAACCTCAAAGCAGCTTAAAGCTGCAAATAAAAAGTTAGAACTGAAGCTGCCAGGGCAAAATACTGTATTACTGGAGATGCATTAATTACGCAGTGTTGTTGCCAGTGGCTGATGACCCAACAGTCGAGAACAAGCCATAAGTAAGTCTCAAATGCTTAGTTAAAGGTCATTCATCTGAAAGGAATTTGGATATTCTTTAACTTTTCCCAGTCTTTCACAATATATTTATTTTGAAGTCATCTATAGTTTTTCCAGATGTATCTATGAGGAATGCTGGTGTTCATGAACTGACAGGTAGTCGTTTTCTGCTGAACTCTGTAGTGAGGTGTTCTTCACTCCAGAAGATCTTGGGTTTGTTCTTGGTTGGTTGGTTGGTTGCTGTTTGCTGTTTTTATCCCAAGATAAAATACTCCATACTACTGATAATGGAGTGATCTGAACCCAGGGGTTTGAAAGTAGGTCATTAAGTACTCCGTATAGGAAAAAATGTATTTGCCAGGGTTTCCTGATTTTACTGGAAGGATTTGTCTTGTTTTCTAAATCTGCTTTAAGATAAGAGACTTCTATGGGGGGGGGGGGGGGGGGGGGGTGGGAAGGGAAATTTTGATTGCATCACAAAGAAAATAATTATATCTAGGAGTAACATTTTGAATCAGGAATAACATTTTTCCATTGATTTATTTTGAATAATAAAGTGTCTGAAAGTAACATTTTTCTAACATTGAACAACATAGATTTGAAAGTCAATAAGAGAGTGGATTGCCTCAAATTGGAATATACAGAAAAAATTGTGGTATTGTTTTTTGTTTCTGTTTGTCTGTTGGTTGGTATTAAACAAATCAGAGGTATGTCATATAGCAGCAGTACTTCCCAGGCTATAATCTATATAAGTGAAACTTGCCAGGAGTTAGTTTGGCCTGTGATACTTACAGTGGTGCAAGGTTGCACTCATTTGTTACAGGGTTAAGGTGCTATTACGGGGTTTACCAGCAAGGTTCACCTGCTTCCTTCATTCCCTTGGGATAGCCCATCTATCCCAGGAAAGCAGCAACTGATTTTGCCATCTTCCGGGTTTCTGACGCTGTGAGCTTGCTGTCCTGTACCCTCTCTTCTCCCTCTCCCTGTATGTATCTTTATGTGACTGGAACTGAGAGGTAATTTGGGCAATTTTTGTGGTAAATTCTTGGCTTGTTCATTGTCTCAGTGCCGTCAGTGTTGATATGACTGCCTTGTGTTGCCCAAATAGCCACATGCACTGCCATGTTGTGCAAGGTGCTGTACATGTGATTCAGGTACATATGGAACTGTGGCTGCTTACTGACAATGGGTATGACTGAGTGTCAGCAGCTTTTACATGCCCAATATGCTGCATTTCAAGGTAATTAATACAGATGCCATAAAGCTCACCTGCCTCTCACCCTATCCCTTTTCTGGTCATTTTGAAGCAAGGCTCATGAAGCAAGAGCTGCATCTCCTACCTGAAATGTAACTCATATGTCATGGGTTTGCTTTTTTTTTTTTGTTTGCCTTTTTTCCCAAACATCACTGTAATAATTACTGTAACAGAGCTTTCTGCGGAGCTAATGTTCTTCTGGCTTAATGGCCCCTGGTTATTCTCAGGCCATCAACTTTTCCCAGCTGGTCATCAATCCCAAAGAACTGCCTTGTGCCTCCATTACTATTGCTTAAGTAGATGACATTTCTAGTGCAACTGCTGCCTCCCAATGAGATGATATTACAGCCAATAGCTTTTTCTCCCCTTGCTTTCAATATTGTCAAAGTATTATAAACAGCTGGTAGGAGACTGTTGTGGCTGTTGGCTGTGAATTCATCTGACAGTTTTTAGGTGTGAGTTTTGTAGACAACTGAAAGCGTCTGAGTGAGGTGACTGAAAATGACTTGCCCGGAGCAGCTACATGGGCTCAGCCCCCATGCATCATTCAAGTAGCGGGGCTATACCTGAATGTCTCTCAGTCTAAAGACTTTTTCCCAGAAGAAACAGTTTTCAAACAAGATCTGGGACAGGTGTTTTGGGGGGTGTTAGTGTTTGGCATTTAGCAAATGCTGACAGCTCCTCACTCACCCTCCCTCCCCAAGTTTTCACAGCTCTGCTGATGGTGGCCGTTGTTTTCTAACAACTGATGGATTCTCTGGCAGACTTTTAAAAGAAACAAGTAAGTCTTAGCTCAGTAGGCCAGAAACCAGCAGAGATTGTTTAGGTGAAAATGTCTTGCTATGTGGATATTCAAACCCATGTGAGTTAATATTGGTGCTGACTACATTTCCTTTAACCTCATTAGCACTTCATCTTGCCTTCCCAAGCATGATGGTGGAGCAGCTAGTTCACCTTAGAGCTTTTGCTTGGTAATTCATCAAACTGGCAGATGAAAGGTTGAAGGAAAATGCATGTAAATACTGCATTAGGAACCTTGGCTCACAAAGGCATGAACATTTCTACCCATATCATTAGCTCAGGATTACAATCCATGTATGTGAAAGAAACGGGACTTTGTTAACAGTTTGGGGAAGATGGAGATACAAAGCTTACTGGTTGTATCATTACACAGATTCTCTCTTTAACTGAAAAGCATTTAATCATTCATTAGCTATTCTCACAGAAGAAAGGCTCAGACTACAACCACTTATTACCTTCAAAATTAAAACCAAGTTACTTAAGTAACATATCCCCTTCAAATACTGGGGGCCAAAGCATTTTGGAATGGAAGTCTGAGATAATCTCAGACCTAGGCTATGTCTTCTCAGCTTTACAGTTTTAAGCTGTGCCTCACTTCACACTGATTTAGTTATTTGATTCCAATATACATGTGGTTGATATTAAGTGTAATTGTGTGTCACCATAATGTCCCCTCATTGCTAATAAACCCACCAAGTAAGTTTACACCTGGAGGTATGTTAGCCATGTTTGTAATAGCATGAATAACAAGCTGCCATGGAGACCACAGGGTTTGAACCCGAGGTGTTGAGGCCCTTGTTGTAAAAGATGGGCTTAGGTTGCTAGCACTCTTCAGAGCAATGAATACTGTCACCTCCTAGGTACACTTGATCTACTTGGTGTTACAGGATCAGGCCAGTGCCACTTGCAGGAGACAACTGTTCTCTGTGTATTGTGTGCCTGATTTGGAGCCTCTGGAATTAAACCAACCTGTTACTCACCAGGATGGTATTGGAATGTCATTCTTTATGGTTAGCAATGAAAAGAAATTTCTGATGGACATCCTTAGGGAAGAAGATCAGTAGATCCAGATGGCCTTCCAAGGAAGCCTGGACCAGTGAGCAACCACAGTTCAGTTTGCCAGTTTTGGTTTTGGGGTTGTTTGTTTCACTTGTATTTTTTCAAAGAAAGGAGAAGACACGCTATGTATATTCTGTAATACAATGTTACCGGTCTTAAATGCTGCAAGATACTGTTTCCTGGAAGGCCACCTTTTTAAACAGTCTTTACCTCCCAGTTTATTGTATTCTTGTTACAAAGTAGCAGTTCGAGGATAACCCTTGGCCCCTTTTTAGTTCTCATGCTGAGCGGCAGATACAATTTCATACTTATCTTACTTATATCTGTATCGGTGGCATACTTCAATAATAGGATTTATCATGCATTTTCATTTTCATGGAAGCTTGTTTTACTCTCCTGATTCCATTAGGTCAGCCATTCACTGATCAGGCACCTCCTTGTTCCATTTTATTGTGTAACTTTTAAACATGACCTGACAAGCTAGAAAAAGTTCAGTGCACTAACTCCCTGTCATGTAAAATATACACAGACATTAATGACCAGCTCTGACTGTTGAAACACAGAGGTACACGAACACTTGTTCTATAGCAACTTGGAAATAGCATGGAAGGATTGGACCAAGGTATAGCTCTCTTCCTGTAGCAAAATTCCCTGACCCCAAGGTTGAAAAGCTATTTACGCCTGTGCTTATGAGGACTTAAAATTGATTATGTCCTGCAAAAGACTGAAAGGGAATAATCAGAAATGCTCTAATTATAGCTCATTTATGGCAAGTGGAAGTACAGTCCTGGCAGCCAAGAATAGTATAGGAGCTGCTCTGAATACTCTATATGAAGCAGCAGTGGAAAGGAGGATTTAAACAGTGGAGCTGGATATAAGGAAGGGTGGTGAGGACTTGGATATACTGTAAGGGTGGTGAGGCACTGGAATGGGCTGTTCAGGGAAGTTGTGAATGCTCCATCCCTGGCAGTGTTCAAGGCCAGGCTGGACAGAGCCTTGGGTGACATGGTTTAGTGTGAGGTGTCCCTGCCCATGGCAGGGGGCTTGGAACTGGATGATCTTAAGGTCCTTTATAACCCTAACTATTCTATGATTCTATGACTTGAACCCACGGAGGAAGTTTAAGGGCTGTAGACCTACACAACATTTTCCCCATCTACGAAATGTGCAGATAATGTGTCCCCAGTTATTTCAGAAAACTGCTGGCAGAGAATTATATAAAGTGCTCTGAGATATTTGCTGTAAAATATGCCATGTACATGTAAAACATAGTTGTCATGTAGTGGGTGCGAAGATGTCTACAGCTAATTTTGAAGTATGTATGTCTTTGCAGCCTTTAAAAATGCACTGCAAGAGCTGTGCACTGGTAACCAGCTCTGGACACCTTCTGGGAAGTAAACAAGGTGAAAGAATCGACGAGACAGAGTGTGTAATACGAATGAATGATGCACCTACTCGAGGTTATGGAAAAGATGTTGGAAACAAAACAAGCCTTCGAGTCATTGCACACTCCAGTATTCAGAGGATTTTGCGAAATCGCAACGAACTCTTAAATATGAGCCACGGAGCCGTGTTTATCTTCTGGGGTCCTAGCAGCTACATGAGGAGAGATGGTAAAGGCTTGGTGTATAACAACCTGCAGCTGATGAATCAGATACTTCCTCAATTAAAAGCATATATGATTTCTCGCCACAAGATGCTTCAGTTTGATGACCTTTTTAAACAGGAAACTGGGAAAGACAGGTGAGAATTTATGTGGGTACATTTGGGGGATGTTTATACAGTAGTAAAATAACATAGTTTATATATATATACCAATTTCAGATCTGCTCAGAGGGACCATCACACCCATTAAATCCTCTGCCTCATGAGTCGTAATATAATATGACATGCCAAATAACATCACTTGTAAGATAAGTAAAAAATATGCATCAAAATAATTTGTATAGAATATTGCCTCATCAACTTTGAATACCAGAAGCTGGATGTACTGTTTACACAGCCAAGGAGGCAGGAGCTGTTTAAGTCTCACTTTGGGGTAATATACCTGGAAGTTGGTTTTTTTTACTGATTCTGAAAAATCAGAAGGGATAGGTTATGTTTTCTTATAGAGGAAATGTCACCATTCAGTGAATTATAATAGCTGTTTATTGAATTTAAGCATTCTTGGAACATTGCAGCTGTAAAGCTTCTTGTAAAACAAATAAACATTAGTTATACATTAGGTGCTTCAAAACAGTTCATCTTATACTTCCAACCGGGAAAAGGAAAGTTATTACGATAGTTACATCTTTACGAGACTGTTTATGACTTGTAGGCAGATCTTCAAATCAAATTTTAGTAAGTGACCCACTGCAGGACTTGAGCATATAATGTCTGAAAATGGACATTTAAACCAAAGACTTCCTAGCAAGAAATAAATTTATTTTTAATGAACTCCTATTTTTTACTTATTAAATATGCTGCTGTAAAAGTGGAACAGGGTCCCCACCACTTAGGTACAAATGAAGAGGTAGGTTTATTGTGCAGTAATTCATAGTGAGATTTTCTAGCTTCACAAATACTGTACATACACACCAAAGTGTGTGGGAGGGAGGACTCAAGAGCACGGACTGTGTTTCCTGGGCTGCACAACAAAGGCAGAACCAGTGTTAAAGGAAGCTTTTGTATCCTTTTAGCTGAAGGTGACTGTATCTTTGCTTGGCATTTCGCTGCCTTTGTCATACCCCCTCAGTTTGCTTGCAGAGCTCTGTTCAGTTATAGTGTATCAAACTATGCATCTAAGTTCTTGACTGACTCACAGTAACTTGGTCAGTTTCTTACCATTAAAGGTCCTTTTCTCTTCATCTTCAAAGCATTGCTTGGGTCTCTGCCAGAGACTGCCTCTGTCAGAACGAGAAGGAGGGATACCAAGGGGAGATACCCTGCCAGTTCTGATGTATTACGGTCTTTCCCAGGTTTGTTCACCTAAAGTACAGTGAAGCGAGAAGGTGAATTAAGCATTTGAACCCTTCAAGAACAGTGCAAAGGATTATCTATTTGTATGCCCACTGTTTGCAAAGGCACGTAAGTTAACAAAGTTGTAGTCGCAGTGTACCATGGCCCACCATCAGCCCTAAGGGTCAGATCCTTTACACAAGGAGTGCACACTGCCACCTCCTTTCCTGGATTACTTTTCCAGTGTAAGACCACTTGCAGTTCCCAGTTTTGAGGAACAAGTTACCTCCTCTGCTTCAGTCTGGTCAGTTCTGCCAGGGAGAGCCACAGTCCCATTCCCTTCCTGATACTTGCTGTGCAAGCTCCTCTTTCTGGTTCTGCACCACCCATGGGGAGCAAGAGGCCTATAGCTGTGCATGTGGTGAAAGCATTTCTGTTTCTGCACAGGCACCAGGCTCAGTCTTGGTTTCTGAAATACTTTCAAGGCATTTGAGACATTAATGACATTATAACCAGTTTATAGCAGACTCAGTCATGGGCACCCTATACTCCCAGTGTGAATCAAGGGCACATGAACACTAGCAAAATTCAGCTGCATGAATAGGTCCTGTTGCTTTTAAGAAATCACAGGCTCTGCTGTGTACGAACTGCTCCTTTAGAGGGCACATACAGCATACTTGAAGGACTAAGAAGATTAAAACGGGAGATGAAAATAAATGAATAGGCAGTACAGCAAAAGAGAGGGAAGATGAAAAGAAACACGGGTAGGAAGGAATTAGTAAGGGGAGAAAATTTATGTAGCTGTGGGGGCAGGAGCAGAACATTGTACAGCCCAGAATGCTGCTTGCTGTTCCCTGTGAGGTTTCTGCTGAGCTCTTGACATTAGTGCCTGCAAAAAACAAAGGAGGGAGAGAGAAGCCTGATTACAAGGTTGCAATGATCAAACCATTCATTTCTGTCTTGAGAATGATGAGAATAAAGGTAATTGGATGTATTGTGCTTTTCAAAAAAAACCCACCTGATTTTGAAACGAAGGGAAACCTTCAGAAAACACTGCCACTTAAATTGTTTGGTGAATGACAAAGGCTGCAGAGCAATATATTTGGTATTATAAAGTACCTGTACTTCAAAATAACTTTATAATTGAATAAGGGCACATTAAGAAAATATGATTCAGAACCAATATTACAGTAATTAGATAAAGGAAGCATAAATGAAATAACTGCAGGAAGAGTATTTCCGTAGAGATTATAAATGAGATTTTGGTGGAGCAGAAAGGCCTTTAATTGTAATTTAGTGTGCACTACAGAATTATCAGCACAGTGTGTTAGTTCAGGATATAAAAGAATATCTGATAATTTCCCCTAATAAGCACATGACAGTTCTTCATATCCTTCCATTACAGCTGAGTAGGTATAAAAACAGTATTCTTTTGTTGGACTCTTCTTCAGATCTTGAAAAGGCAAGACACTGCAACCCTGTGTCTGTATTGCTGTCCTACAGACATGGTATTTAAAGAGGCTAGAGTGATACTTGAGTTAAGTTTTAAATTTTATTTCATTGTTTAGCTTTTAAGCTAGTTTATTTAAATTCAGTTATTCTCCTATTTATTGAAAACATTAAATTACAAAGTAAGTGTGTGTAAGCAAAAAGAAAACTAACCTGACAGGCAGCCTAGCTGGGTTGCTGGACCTGTGTAAAGCACAGCCACTTCGGTCATGGTCTAGATATGATTGCTCCCTTGGTTTTGGAATGTAAAGTCTTAGACAGCTAAAACAGTGGCCTTGTGCACATTACTCCAAAGTACTCTTAGCCTGACCGTGTTCCTGATTTACCTAGCAATTCACAGGCTCAGGAACGCGATTTTTTTTTTAGACTTTTCCCTATCTCTCCCTTTCCTAATGATTTTGAACCAAAAATTATTTACTGGTTTCACTGTATTGTTTCAGTGCCTGAAGGCCTCTGCTGAGCTTATGACCTAGCTATGACAATGTGACAAATTGCACCACCACCCCCAAAGCTTAAGTGCAATTTCAGAAAATAAATAAGGCTCCATAATTGGAACTAATGAGATGCTTAAATCATGTTATTCTCCAAATGCTAGCTTAGCCTGAAAGTCTGTATGTCAGGAGCAATAAAAATGTACATTTCAGGTGTTCACACGCTGTCAGATGCCCAGCAAAGGACAGGACAAGCTACACAGGCTCTCCACCATCCTTCAGACACTTTTAGTTAAGCAGCAGGTATTGATACTACCACTTGTTTTTTTTTTCCTTCGTAATAGTCTAACTCACTGAGGAAACTGGGAACATTCGTATAAGGCATTCCTTAATCTGACAGTGGTCAAAACATCCCCCTCCTGCTGCCCTTAGGTGACCTACTTGGAACCAACTTGTTCAGCATTATCTTAGGAAGCTGCTTTCCTACTGAATTACTTGTTAGTGATCACTGGCACTGGCTTACAGTAGCTCTTGTGGCTTCAGGTCCCTGCTTCCAGGATTGTGGTGCATCCTGCTGTCACTGTAAAAGACGGCCCTGGACTGAGGTCAAGACCTGGGATACCTGGGTGACTGCTCTGATGAGAGTTCTTTGCTATGCTTTTTGGGGGGGCTCACAAAACTTCGCAGGTGTCAGGCAGATATAGGTGTAGTAGAATGGGGTTAATGTACATTCCACATCAGTACAGTGTGATACAGCACACAACCCATCCATGAGCCTGTGCGTGCTCTCATCGTGCCTCAGTTTTAGCAAGAGATGAAAGGATAGCCAATCACTGTGACAGGCGGACATCAGGAATCTGAGGCCTTTCTGGCCTTTCTGGTTCACAGATGATACCACCATGAATTTCTTCCTGCAGGACTTCTTTACCTGAGTGGAAGGCATTAGGGAGGTCAGTTGTCTCCTTTAGCAACATTTGAAGAGAGACTTTGAGTGAACTTGTTTTTTCTGGAGCAAATACCCAACTTTATATGCCTCCATTTCTAAGAGAGATGCCCAACTTGGTCATTTAGGGCTGCTGCTAAACATGCCTTTACAACACCTTTAAGATGTGCTTCTCTCTGGCATTGCCTTGACCCTCCTGTTACAAGACTGCCAAAATTCCCCCAGCATAGGGACAGTGCAGGAACTTAACATAGGACCAGGACTTTCAGTGTATGTGCTGTGCAACCGTTATAGTAGCCAGCTCATCCACACTGAACAGCAACGACTGGCAAATGCTAGGAAGACCAAACATTACTGTTGCCCTTTTTCAGATCAGAACCTGTGCTACAGCAAAGTTTAAGCACAGCTTCTAAATCTCTTGCATCTGTGAGCAGTTACATGGAGATCTCTCCTATTTTGCATAAATAATGCTGGGATCAGCTGTGCTTCTTTTAAAGATTTCTCCCATCTTGCAGAGAAGGCCAGGAAAGGAGCTGCCTTAGAGGGCTCCCTTGCAGCACTGTCACTCAAATTCAAAGGGCCCACCAGGCAGGGAGGCAACTCCGGGCAGGTTCACTCCCAAGCTGGCTAAGGGACAGGCATAGCAGCTAACTAAGAGTTTCCTGCCAGCAGTCACAGTGAGGTTCTGGGAGCTTCTAGAAATCAAATCGTGGACAGGGTAAGAGGAAAGAGGGTTAGACCAAGCACTTGAGGCTCAATCTCGCTCCAGCAGACACACTCCTCTGCATGCTGTGGGAGGCAGCATTTTAAGCAGCCCTCTTTACCCCTCATGATGCATCTTCCTGAGCACTTAGTATGTGATTATAGATGTGTATACATTACTAGCAGAAGATTATAAATATAGCACATGGAGATTCAGTCACTTACAGTAAACTTAACAAAAGGTCAGCTAAATATTAACATTGCTGTGCCCAAAATTAATTACAGCAAGGACATTTTCTGCATAGATTAGTCTGCTGACAGAAGACACTAGCAAAAGCCTTAAAAGGTGCACAAGCAAAGTAGTCTTGGTTGCCCAATTTTCATAACCTTTCACAAGAATAAAATAAAATGCCCAGAAGTTGCTTCAGATATATCACAAATTATTTGTCAGCCTAGAAACTTAATTATGTTTTTGCTTTCAGGAAGATATCCAACACTTGGCTTAGCACGGGCTGGTTCACAATGTCTATCGCATTAGAGCTCTGTGACAGGATAAATGTTTATGGCATGGTGCCACCGGATTTCTGCAGGTAGGAATTATTTTGGAACCATTATTAGCCAACAAGGTTGAACGCTACAGATAAATATCTGAATCTTTTAATTTTTTTTCTCTGCAACATCTTCAGCCCTCTTAAAGCAATTAATTAACACGTCCACAGATCTGATTCTGAAGACAACAAACAGCATTTAATTATGTTATATAAAATATTTAAAAATGTTGTTTGTAGTATGGGAGAGTTAATCCATCTTGCTGGTTTCGTTTAGTCTCTGAATATATTTATCAGCTAAAAGTAAGGCAGTAATTGGCATGAAATTAGTCTTGAAAAAAGTAGAACTGGAAAACATTACTTTTGTTTTAATGTTTCCCCCCAGCTAATAGAGGAACAGAGATCTCACAGTGACTAGTTTCTAAATTGAACTTTCTATGCAGCTCAATTAAAATTGTATCTGTCACATAAATCCCAGTCTTCCAGTAAACTAGCTTCCTAGATAATCCCCACCAAAAAAAAAATAAAATCAAAACTAAAAACCAAACAGGATTTGGACCTACACAGAATAGATGATCAGTCCTGTAATCGCCCATTTGGGGCATTCAGGACATGGGCTGCAAGTGGCAGAAGCAGCAGCACACAGATTCTGCCAGTGGGAGCTGAGCTTAAATCACTACCCCCTTTCACACTGTTTATGAACCAACAGCTTTGGTACATTTTATGGATATGTTGTGCCTCCAGACATATTCACCACTTAGATGCAAGGTGCTGGTTAAGGTTTCCTGCTGTGGAGCAGTGATACAGGGAAAGAGTCTTCAGGATTTCAGCTACGGGACCAAAATCACATTTAGCCACATGATGCAAAGTACTGATCTGATATAAATTCATACAGATTTGTTTTACATCAACAATCTTTATGCTGACTTAACTATCACCTGTCCATCCATTCCTAGGCCTGGCACTCTGGGCTTTCAGAAAAATGTACTTGTGTGGCCACACCTTGACCTCATCCCATCTGCGTTGTTCAGTGACCAGTGATGCGCACAGAGCTGGTACTAGCAGTCTGGAACAGTGGCATCAGTGCAATGCTTTGTCAACTGCACATGACTCCCTTTCACTAAGAAGTACTTGTTTGAATTTTCTGTTGCAAATAGAGTGATCTCACTGAGGTCTGGTCCATTGACTAATTCAAGATCCTTTCCAGAGGCAAGGGGAGCAAGGCTGCAGTGACAGGTTAGCTCATCTGTCAGAGAACAGGACTGCTCTGACTTCCTTCTGAGCACTGAAAGGATCATTCCGGAATCTGCATTTGTCCTGGGCACATAGCACAAATCACTGAAGAAATTACGCTATAAAATGTCAACACTAAATACCACTTTGTGAGAATTTCTACAAATTATAACAGAACACTAATGATAAATGCTGTGATGTACTGCCAGATTTCGTTATGAATTCTCCAAGGAAAATAACAAACCAGATCAGATATTCCAGACAACATAAATACCTTCCGCAGCACAGCATTTCAGTTCTCCTGTCACTGCAGTTGGCCAAGACACACTTCTTCAGTTTCTGTAAGTGGGTGGTCTGCCTTACTCCAGAAGTATTCCAGTGGCACATGGAAGTAGTTCCTGAATAAACTGATGATCTGAAAATGCAGAAGACCGCAATTCACTGCAAAGTTCAATACTAACTTTTCAGGTAGAGACCATATGAAAGGCTTTCATATAGCTGATACATTTTATTTTTATTACATTTTATATTAGGATACATCCTAAAATAAAATGGATATAACACTAAATTATAACACAAAAAAGGCTGTGCTCAGTCCTTCCACTGATAGCTGTAATAATAATGCTTACAGCCTGCATAAAAAAATCCTAACATAAAGGTACACTCACCCTTTTTATGAAAGGGAAAAGGTCATTTCTTAATGAAAAGAATATAAAGTGTCTTTACTTCAGGTATATTTGCCATGTGATGAAGGGGAAAACTGCAGTTGCCATGCCTGGAAGAAGCTATCCATGAAGATCTACAAAAGGAATCTCTTGCCATAAATACAGTTAACCTTCTTAGTTTGCTCTTCAGCCACTCATTAGGAAGTTAAACAGTGCTTCCTTTCAAAGAAATATGACAATAAAATAGAACAGTTGAAAGAAAGAAGTGTTTTGTAATTTTAAGCCACATTTCCTGGTTTTCAGTCAGACAAAATACAAACCTACCATGAAAAAAAAACAAAACAAAAACTAACCAAACAAACCCCCAAACAACAAACCCCACCCTATTTCTCATGTGTGTTCACAAGATGGTATATGTACTTCAGTTGCTGTGCAACAAAAGAATCACTAAGATTAAAATAAACCCAAACCTCTTTTCTCTATTCAGAGTTAGTATCTCCAAATTTAAACTGCAGCAGTACCCATTATTTTTTAAGTATTAATTTGTGGAGTAAGTAATGAGTGTGGGTGATCACTGTCATGGAACTCCATTAGTATCACATCTGTAACGTGAAGGACATCTCAAAGGTACCGTGAATATCATACTGTTGATTCTGCTACACATTATTAGCTTAAGATCATTAACCAAATTGCTTCCCACCCGTGCAGGGAAATTAGCCTGGTGAAGGAGTCTGGAGTACAGACTAAAAGATTTGTCACTATTAATTGCAACAACATTTTTTAGGTTCATTTCTATTTACTTTCACTGGACATTGATTTTTATAGCTGAACTGGAATTGGTGACTTGATTATTATAAATTTTTCGTACTTTACAGCAAAGCTATATGTTACTTTGGATCCCTTTATTTTGCTATAGATTTATGCTGTAGTAAGGGTTAATGGCTTTGATACTGCTCTCATGTTGTTAAATACATCTGACTTGCACATTTTAGAGTAAGATGAAACCTTGTGCCTCCTTGCACATTGCAAAGATTTTGGAGAGCATGTGCATTTCTCACAAGAAAGCAAGCCATCCTGATGTATTTTTCCAGTGCTCAGTCCTAGCCTTTGCTGGAGCAAACTAATACCCCAGAGAGGAAGCATTTCCCTCTTTGAGCTCCCTTTAGGAGACTGCTGTATGCACAGGACTCCCTCCTAAACTGGGATATGGAGGATTTTCCTCTTGCCTCCCTATGAAAGCAGCTAGATGGTGGTGCATGAATTGCACCACCATTCCTGAAGGCACTTCAGTGCTGCTGCTCTTGTGGTGGCTCTGCAGCATCGCCAGTATGAGGGAAGGACAGAGACAAGCCTTAATGCAGCTTGTAGTAACTCCAACACTGGAGTAGCTGTAGCAGCAAGAGGCTGATTCCTTGCAGGTATATCTGGCTACTCATGCACACAAAGACGACTTGAAGTATTAGTGAGAAAAGCCCTCTTTAACCCCCCTCCTCTTCATGGGCCTTTTTGAACTACCAGAAACTTAAAGCTTAATTCTAAGCTTTATTTTAACTAATATGAATAATTTTTGCTCCAGTTATGGAACCAGATCATTTTCCTGTAAGAATCCTCATTTGACTGCCAGGCCATTTCCCATCTGTGATAATTTGCCTGAAAATTGGCATTTGAAATCCCTTAATTTATTCCTTTGGGTACAGCTTTTAAATCTAGTGTTTTCTTACCTCCCCGTCTCCTCTTTCAATTGCTTTAAATCAAATGCAAAGAAGCAGTTGTTGCTAGTTTATGTTTCCTGGGGCTTAATGGAAGAAGGGGTGCTCACAGGACTGTAAACTGTGTGGGAGACAGTCATACCCTTTTGTCCATATGCCTGAATCTCACTTCATTACCTTAATAACAAAACGCATAATTGGTTTGGCAAACAGGACTCTTCCAGAGCTCAAACAAATGGGATCCTAGCAATAGAAGGCAAAAAAATATCCAAAGCTTCACAGTCCTGGCATAGCACCTTGCCCATCACTCAACATATTAATGACCCTTTATTCACCCTTCAAAATACAAATTATTTGACAAAACGTACATATAGCTTCAGTGGATTGATTCATAATATCTCTTCATCTGTAAAAGAAGATGTGACCAAAATGTGATATGGGATGCCCTTGTTTTTTTGCCTTGTTTCTTATGAGGCAAACACTGTTTGCTGTATTTTCAGCTTTCACTGTGGGTGGATACCATCTGTGGGAAAATGTGCACTGAAGTGGCAAACAGTAGAAGACTGACACTGGTTACAAGTGCTTAGGCGGTTGCTGTGCTGGCAGGCTGTTAGGCAGGAAGTACAGCGTATTTTACAGAGGAACTTTCCTAGATTCTCCCAGCTGTGATATTAATATGCATGCAAAGCCTGACAAAATACTGATTAATGTCCAGTATCAGTCAGTGATAAAACAGCATCTGTTTTAACGTTAATAAATGAGGTGGCAAGCAATTTCCGTATAGAAATTACTCATGCATTTCATTTGCTGGTGACACAAGCTAATTGCAAAGTTAGAAAATAACAGTACAGTTAATTTGGGTTATGGTGTAGCTACTCAAGCCAGAGTTCAAATGCAAACCTTACTAGCATGCAATCTAGTGGAATCCAGAACTCCCATGAAAGGAGAAAGACTTCATACAAAACATCCTAAGTAAGTTGCCTTTCAGAGTTCCTAAATCCAAAATTTGACATTTGGAATTTAGCCTCAAAGCCTCGGTCAGCTGAAGAGTAGGCTTGGAGAGCTATTCTAAAGCTACCAGCATTTTCATTTTTGCATTGAATTCACATCCAGTTCAGCCAGCAGACCTGAATGCAAGCCATCAGGGGATGCCTGAACCCCACAGGATGCCCAAACCATGCTCCCCTGCCTCTCTTCCTACCAGGCCTTGTGCAGCAGTTGGCTCTGGATTGTTTCTGATGGGCCAAACCCAGTGACCCACTATACAGCCTGGAGCTAAGGGCTTAGGACACTCTGGTGCTAGCTTCAGAGCCTTTGATGCAATGTGGAATCCCTGTCTTCAAAAGGGAACCCACTGCTAAAATATCCACCGGTAGAATACTAGTAATGTAAGAGAGAAAGCACTTACTGGGAGGCTTCCAAATGTTTCTTCCAAGAGGCAACAGAAGAGTGCAACCCTAGGTAAATACTAAGTTACCAGAGTGAGGGAGAAGCAAGAGGATCACTATCGAGCCTTTTTTCCTTCCTCTGTTTCATCCACCAGCACCCTGTACCTGTATACGCTGGGTTTTGTGTGGAGGAAAAAAAAAAAATGACCCGACTTTCCATCCATTGCTAATTTCAGTTACAGCAAAGGAATAGGGAAGAGATGTACAGCAACTGATTTTCTGCAAACCCAACTCAGGCCTTCATAACAAAAAGGGTTGGGGTGAGGAGACAGACAGTGGAGGATCCTGGCCAAATCTACTGCAGTGCTGGGCTTTTTCCCCACTGTGACTGCATTTGTTCAAAGTCTGATTTCAACTTTACTAATCCCCATGTTAAAGCAGTTAATTTACCCAGAGCAACACAGGTTTACCCTCAAGAACACAAGAGTAAAATCCAGCTTCAGTGCAGAGAGGAAGAGCAGTCTAAATGAGAGGCAGAGGCCTGTGCATTAAAATGTGTCCTGTTAGACTTAACAGTAACCATAAAAATAATTAATTTAAGAGATTATAATAAGAGGTCCAATTTATCAAAAAAGTCTGTAAAAATTAATTGAAGAGTGAGATCTAATAGTTGTAGCTTTTTTAAAAGTATTAGATTAGGGTTATATTTTACATTACAGATATGTTTTCTGTAGGTGAGGTATTGAAGGATTTCTTTTCAGTCTTACATATTCCAGTGGGAATATATATATAGTAAATTTAGAATCCATCTTATTCTAGAAATGTGATTTTATTGTTATTCTGTATGATTGATCACTGTGTTGTGTTACCAGGAAGCTAGATTGATTGAATTAAAACATTAATCTATGGTACAAATGGAAAGCAGAAGCACTATTGTACATTACCAGTGCATATACTATATGGATAACGGCAAAATAAGAAAAATTAGAGAACTGTGTAGGTGACAGAATTATACAGTACAAATAATGACCAGGACAAAATACTGACAGGTTGTAGATGCATTCAATTGAAAGTAAGCTTAAATAGTACCTCTTCAAAATGAAAATAATCAACTCTATATTAGAGCTGACAGCCCAGAATCTGCATGAGATTTTTTGCTCTGTACTAGTGTCCTGTTTAGCTCAGGCTTTAACACAGAGCAGTTCCAAGACTTCATTAAATGGTAATATTTGGATTTATTTTTCTGCCGCTACAAAACAGTTTGTTGATAGGAGCTGTGGAGATCAATACAGTTGGGTTAATTCTGTCTGGGGCATCTCTCTTTGAATTTATGATAGAGGGTTGTATGTGTCCTTGTCAGCCCAAAATGCCTGTGCCCAAAGTAAAAACATAATGGGTGCAGTTTAACATAGAGAGTAAAACAAAAGGAGAATGAATCACTGGCTTATTTTAATACAGATGTGCCTTTTACAGAACATAACATCAAAACATTGAGGTTAGAACTGCTAAAATGAACTTCATCCTAAATATGTAATTGGTCTTCAGCATACCCTGTGTGTCACCACAGGAGTACACATTTCCTGCCGGTTAATGCCAGGGGGCTCACAGTGTCAGGAGTATACTATGGCAGAACAGTTTCAATTTTTAGCTTAGATACATGAAAGTTGCTGTTGTAGAATCAGAAAGAACTCATTTGTGCATCAGATGTATGATTATAAAACCAGCAACAGCAGACTATCACTGACCTAGCATGCATATGCACTCAGCAGCGTGCCCTCAGAACCTTGTGTACCATGCTGGGAATGCTCTGAGCTGATGTGACACAGATAACCACTTCCCTCTATCTCTCTCTTCCCCTTCTTCCTCAGCCCAGTAAACACCTCTGCAAGGCTTTTTACAAATCACAATCTAGATATAAATCTGTTTTAAGCACTTTGCTTCAAATTTCAGAGTAAGACAGCCCTGCAGCACTCTTCCTTGGTTTTGAGCTGCTGCTGTCCTTTCTTTAACTGGGAGGAGGCGATTAAAGGAGAGCAATAGAAAGGAAAACACCTCTGCCGTATTCTGACGTATTAAAGATGCAAAACCAATGCAGCCACCTAGAAATTTGGTTTAACGGGGAGAAAAAGTGGATTTAAGCCCATCAGTTTATTAAAGATAGCATCTTTTCAATCAGTGAAAAAGAACATCTCGGTCTTCCATCTATTTTCTTTCTTCCACAGGGATCCTAATCATCCTTCAGTACCTTATCATTATTATGAACCTCTGGGACCTGACGAATGCACAATGTACATGTCACACGAGCGGGGACGGAAGGGCAGCCATCACCGTTTTATCACAGAGAAACGAGTGTTTGAGAACTGGGCACGGACATTCAATATTCACTTTTTCCAACCAGACTGGAAGCCAGACCCACTCACTGTAAACCACCCTGAGATTAAACCGGTGGTCTGAGGGGCCAATGCACAAGACCACAACCACAGTCACCTCTATCAGCCTTTGGGGTGTTGGACCTTCTAGAACGGCAAAGCAACCTCTGGGAGAAGGGTGCCGGGATTTGCAGTTGATCACGGCAACAACAGTCAGGAAGTTATGATGAAGGAGCAGAGCATACCAAGAGTACTTTCTGTCGAGCTGTGTGTTAATCCCGTACATAGCCTTTTTTGGCCATCTGACTTCCTGTATGTGTATGTGATTTGTGATAAACAACTCGAGCATCATTACAGATGGTTACATCATTACAGTTTTTTAAAGTACAATGCCACTGAATTTTCATAGTGAAAACTTACAGTATTTATTTAAAGGAGGTTTTTATGCAACCTAGGCCAGTATTTTTCTAATTCACAGTTAGGTGGCTGTTTATCTTTCAAATCCAAAATTAATATTGCTGATGGTTTGAAAGGCCTAGCTTTTTATTTATAAAATTTGTTTGAAAAATACAATTCTATATAGCATGTAATTAATATCTGATCTGCAAATGTTGCATTTCTTTTAAAAAACTGGGGCTCTATTCCAGCCTAAAGCCTTTAACAGCAAGAATGGTCCCATGTGCAGATCTAGCTAACTCTACATACTGACGTCCTATGTTAATAAGAAAACAGTAGTGAAAATTCTGTTTGATATTAATGTGCATTTGCTGCTGTGCTGTCAAGCTGCTGTTTTTTAATTAGGGGTGGGAGGAAGGAGGGCAAAATTTATACAAAAAGATCACTGGTTATAGCAGCATGCTTTTCAGTGAAGGCTAAGGCTGGAGGGGTTGTGTTCTTTTTTGCCTCTTGTAGCACTGCAAGAGGCTGAGGACGCAACCCTCCTGAGGGAACACACAATGAAACAGGAAACACCATGACCAAATCTCTGAAATTAAGATGTTAAACTACCAGGTTCTACAGTACCAGCCACACTAGCAAAAAAAAGTATTACAACACTGCAGCTGCAAACATCCTGGCATTCCAACGGTTCCAAGATTTCCACTGACCTCCGAGATCCTGGATCGTGTTCAATATGGGATGGGAAAAGAGTTTCACGAGTACAAAACTGTCCCCTTGAAAAAAGCAAAGTTACACTTGGCAGTTTCTTCATGAAGTACTTGTGCATGGCAAGCCACAGGATGGACAATGCGAGTGCTGTAAGTGGAGCCTCACAGTGTGAATTACTGGGTTACATTACTTCTTGTGAATAAAGAAGATTTCAGTTACACTATTATTTTTCCTTTTGCCTCAAAAACACTGAATCTCTAATTTCTTCAAAGTAATCAGTAGGAGTTAACTATTGCATGAAGCGTTATACCTCAGGTGATAAAAAGTGTCTCTCATTAGACAACTGCTAAAGCTAGAACAAAAATACTACCTTAAAATGTCTAAATCCAAGAAGCTGAACCTTAGAGGTGATACGTAGAACTGGAACCAAACTCACTATCATTTAAACCCACTTATAACCCATGGTCTTCCCAAAACTGGATGGCAGTAGCTGCAGCTACCCTACAGATACCCCGATTCTCTGGGGACAAAGTGAACTGCCCTGTCAGAGGCAAAAAGTGCTACCCCTGTAACACTGCCTGGAGTGGAAAGGCAGGCCTGCAAAAGCCACTCCCCTTGCTGCAGCCCTCCACAAGAAACTAAATGTTATTTTGCCTTAAAAGCTGTCTTTCGGTGTTCTTCCTGGTACACCCCTTTCGGCATACAAACTGAGCACAAAGCTCTATTGCCAATTGCTTGTAACCTGGCTCTTGTCAGCTGGTGTTTAACTCTCCCCCTTACACTGATGTTTTATTCCTTCCACTGGATTTCACAACAGACAGAATGGATTTTGAACTAAAGGTAAGTTGAACATCCCTTTCAGCATGCATACTGGGGCATGCAACCAGCATATATTGCTCAAACTGATGAACTCTGTCAAACTGATTACAGATCATTTCTAATGTGATTGCAAAGAGATCATACAAATCATAGTAGGTCCTCTGATGCCACTATCCTTTTGTTATTACTGATGTAATAATAAAAAGACCTTGCCATTCTAAAATAGAGCTCTTATTTTTCCATTAATGAAGGGCCAAAGGATGTGTATGCTAAATGTTTTGTTATGTTATTTTTAAAACAAAATCATTTTAATATAGATTACACTGATCTACTTTCAGTATTCAGTAGAAACATGGGGACTTGACAGGCTCCTTTGTGCTCCACATGCTTGTTTCCTGTCTGAAACACTGGTCAATACCAAGTAGAGCAGATGAAGCATGAAGAAGATGAAGAAGAAACATGGGATAAACTGACAATAAATATCTTAACTTCTAATAGGGCAACCCTAAGGATGGTAAATATTCCTTCTTCAGTTTCTGTTACTAACAACTGTGTTCTTGTTACCCATACACACATCCAGTCTTTTAAGTAAAACAACCCCAAAACTCACTTCAGCCTTGACCCAGCAACCTCCTCAAGTCTCAGCAAGTTCCCCCTTCTAGTCGCAAGAAGTATAAAAGAGTATTTTCTAAGTCATGACATGTGTATATAAAACTCACTGCAAAATGAATCTGATGAAGCAAAGGAGACAGCAAGTTTTAAATAGGATTGATCACACAGATTTACATAGAATATAAATAGCTTTTAAAGTGCTGCAATTTTAATTTACAAATTACTGATGTATTTTTCTGTAAAAGCACAATTTTTGAACCACAGTGTATACTGCTACATTTCAGCCCGAACTAAGGTTTTATAGCCTAGTTATAAACTAAACAGATTCATGATAGAAAATGCTGCCAGACCAGAGATAAACAGTACAAACTCGGCACTGCTGCCATTCCCTGGCCTATGCTGTCATCTTATACTCTTCACTATAATTTGATCGATTCATGATCTTCATCACACATCATTTCACATGTTAAAAACTGTTGCAAAACGGTGTTTACAGGCATCAGCAATTTCAAGATCTATGTTACTTTAGTTCTGAACTCTGTGCATACCTTACGCTTTCATGCTTGGCTTCACCAGAGTGGCTCTTTTTCATCTCAAAGAAATGCTCTGATATGTACAAGTGGAATTGAGAATGATAAACAAAGTATCTCTGCAGCTAAGAACAGAAAAGTCCAACTGCTGCTGTTATTTTGGCACAATGGTTGCAAGATACTCAGCTACCAGCATCATGGTACAAAGCAAAACTGTGATTCACTTTGAAGAGAACCTTCCATCCAAAGTGTGAAAGCACCTTGAAAAGACAAGTTAATACTGTTTATTCCTGGGTAAGGAACCCACGGAAAGGGGAGGTTATGAAACTTGCAAAGACCAAGTTGCAGCCTTAGAACTGGCTCTAGCCAGTAGAACATATGATCGCAATTTCACCTATTGCATATACATACGTGTGAGCAGGAGTGAAAATGGATCAAATTTTGCAGGAGGTGCTTACCTGGGTCTTGCCCTGCAGCACTTCTCAGGCAATCTTCAGAGGAAATTAAGCGATTTTTACCTGAAATAGCTCTAACGAGGCAAAGACACAATCATCTAAAAACAGCAAGAAAAACATTGTGGGGGTGTGATGAGCAATATCTAATGAGTAAGGAATAAAATGTGGTTTGTGTGTCAAGCCCTATGCCGCTGGAATATGAAGACCAATGTCTGTCTGGAGCTGGAGTGAAAAGCTGTGGCGCAGGAGAAATGCCTGTCCTGCAGAAACTCCAGTGTTCTACGAATCGACCACAAGTGCCATATAAACTCCTCAAAAAATTCTGGTAATCACCTCTGACTAATGAAAGTTTATTTGATGCAAGGAGATGCAGTTCTTAGCTCAATGAAAAACAGCTTTGGGATTAAAAAAAAACCCCACAACTAAAAAGCAAAACAAAAAAGCCATAAAGAGTTAAACAGTGAAAGAACCACTTCTAAATCATCAAGATACAGCGCAGAGGAGAAGAAAATCTCACAGGCATTAGTACCCCAGTTAATACTCATCACTTCTGAGTTTCCAGCTGCCTATTGCAAAAGCACACCCTGCCCATCACATGTATAAGATTTTATAAGGAGAAAAGAGAAGAAAAATATTGAAGGACAACCCTTTAAAAAAAAATAAAATAAAAAAAGGCAATACAAAAGGGCGAGAGTCTTAGGTTGTGAGAAATTTCTCTGTACTGAAGCAGAAAAGTATAAAACTCAAAGGATGTTTTGTAAAATGGCTGTAAAATGGCTTTGCTTACACTAGATACCACTAAAACCATTTGATTGTTAAATGCTTTCTACATTGAAAATCACAAAAAAAAAAAGCCTAAAATGTCAAACCCTTTTACCACCGTATGGATGGAGTTTCAGTATCACAGCAGAGACAAAGATGGTGACTTTTATGACAGCTGCCTGTAGAACAGGCTCCGTGACAAACACAGACGTGCAGAAAACAGGCCATAAACCAGCATCTGCTTCCCTTCTGCAGGAGGAGGGCACTCAGCTCTCACAGGACACACTTGGGCACTGGCAGCAGAAAAGGGAGACGCTTCTTCATGTTGTCTGATGCTGAACACCAGATCAAGCCAGAGAAACCACTCAGCAGACAATCAACTTACAGTGCTCCTTGTTCACTGTGGAGTGCTTTGACTGGGAGTTGTAAGGAAGAAAGGCAAGACAGGAAGCTACACAAGACAAGTCACAAAACACAAACAAACAGAAAACTAACGAAGACCAGAATTAGCAGTCATAAAGAAGATACACTGGCTAAGATGTAATGCAGCTTTGGTAATAAAAGCCATGCCCTGCACAGCTACTTAGATTTCTTCAAGTTCTCTCAAGCAAGTGGACAAGAAGACCCACTTGGAGTTCCACAGCTAATTTTGCAAGGTGTCTCTAAAAGACTTTCAAAGAAACAACAGTACCATGGGATAAAAGAGATCCTCACCTATGCAACCCATCTGAACATCTGAAATAAGGCTAAGAAGACACATCATCAGCTTAAGGTGACAGGCAGAATTCCACCAGAAAATGTCACAATACATTTTCTCTGCTTTTCTATACTCTTCCTTG